TTCGATTAAATATATTAAATAAAAATCATTGGCTTTTATTACATTTTCATTGGCTTTTATTATATTTTCATGCCATGTATACAGGTAGAGGATGAGGCCGAACTGATATACAGGAACATCTTCTTCAAGCCAATGGGTCGTCACGCACATCGGGAATGCAATGCCCCAACCTGGGACTTCCATCTCGAGTTTAACCTCTTCGCCATTCTTTCTGGACATGAACTTCTTGTTATGAAGAAAAGGATGTCCCTTGGACAGTGCATGGTTATTGACACAAGTGGACTTGCTGCAACGTGGAGACATTAACCTGTACTAATCAAAGACACTGGGCTTTTTGTGACTGCATTCAACCAATTTCGGAATCTATCATCTATTCGGCACAAATATATCAAGTTTAAACTCTTTTCTGGACATAAAGGACTGAGTGTGATTAATCCTGTGTCCACTGTATATGGTATCGTTACGATTTGATTTTCGACAACGATGATTGGACTTTTCTGCAACACAATTCTCGGGACTCTGTTCGACATTCGGAAAACATGTTGCATGTTTCAACATACTTTGAAATCCAAACGCCATCTCTTCAGCTGAAATATACAGTTCGAAGGTCCTGTGACCTAATAATATGTTCAATTCAGGAACAGGCCCTCAAACTTGATAAACAGCATCGATGTATATCGCGTATTTTGCTAAATTTCCAATCATCTATCTCCAAGTGAACATTTCGACGCGTGCTTCAGAAGCAGACAGATATGGAAACGGATGGTAATAAGATGAACCATTCTTTCAAATATCACCATTAACTGAAGAAAGCATAACTAAGAAGGGACTGATGTCAACATCGTCTACAGAATTCGCCAAAGCCAAATATCATCCTGACTGATTCGAACCTTGCAAAAGGTTTGTTGATTGGTCTGTGACGCGCAGAAAGGCTTCAAGATTAAATGCAAACATTGACGATTTCTACTACCAAGATCACCATATGGAATAACATTGCTGAACACTTGTTTATGAATCATGTATATTGGACCTGAATCGACGATTGCCTGAGGAATTCTTTTGGATCCTATTTATTGTGTGTGCAAGGAAATATTTGTTGGATGGATATTCAATCATTTGGATTATATTCCTGCCAGACTGAACCGGAGAATGCTGAGACTGAACAACTAGATGTCGGGGTAAGTGAAAGTTGTCTGTAGAGAATTCAGCAATATCACTTGTGATCTTAATGGAGCTCTATAATTCACTGAGATGGGTCAGGATGGGTTTGAGCTTGGCCAAATCTAAACGTTAGGACAACATTGATACACATAGGCCCTTAATTAATATTAAAGTAGTGTAAGGGCCAAGTTTTAATCCACCCTTACTCATCTTAGAATATTGTAGATTCCATTATCACGAAGATTGTTGGGTTGGAAATGGACAAACTATAAACTTCCTATTCCTTTGCGAACACGTCACATCGCGGCAACGTTCTTCAAGCGATTGGTTTCTGTGTCAGAAGAAACACCCATCAATCTTCAACTAAGATTCAAAATCCAGAATATCTTCTATTGTAAGTATGGTAAGATATTATTATACTTACTTTGGAATTTTAACATGAATGTTTTCGTTTTCATATTTGATTTGATTTTTATTGAATTACTTTTATTGGTATATTTGTCTTGATATAACGGTGGATTTGGTGAAATAAATATTTTTAGACCTAATGGATATTATTAGATTATTACTTAATAGAAATACTGTTAAATAGCATCGATTTGCACAGTCAATTTATGAAGTTTTTGCGATCCGCTATTTTACTCTGGTCTTTCCTGATCATATGCAAATCAATGCCTACACAATACGTTACCGATATCAATAGATTTGTGTACTATTACACAATACAGTAAGGCATAAGATATTATGTTATTGTTTCAGTAAACTATGCTTTTACGTTATATATGTATCGATTTAATTTGAAATATAGAATAAAAGAACTACAATAAATGTAGTAAGGCATAATTTTAAACAGTGAAAAAAAATGAAAAATTCCAGTTATCATGAAGTAGAATAATAGGTCTAAATGACAAAGTAGATATTTTATAGAGAGATTGATAACCTAGCCTTAGGAGCTGATAATTTATGATTGATAATTTGATAAATGATTAGGTAATGGGTGATTAATGATAATACGAAGAAGCATAGATTTAGAATTAGAATTAGAAGATTTTTATAGATAAAAACATAGTTTGCTATCACAGCATTAGACATGGATAATTAAATGATTAATAGGTAATGACTGATTTGATAATAATTGTATCAGAAATTGTATCATTAATGGTAGGATTGATATCGGTACAGTATTGGGTAGATACATTTGTGGTATCAACTGCAGAATACCCTATACCACGCATCATTAGAATATAGTTTTCAGGCTAAGCTTCCCTCCTGGTTAGAGTTAGGGTAAGGTGAGGATTATGATTAGGACTAGATATAGGACTAGGGTACGGTTATTTGTGTGGCGGGGTATTCTGCAGTTGTTCCAAGCAATATTTTTTTACATGTACTTGCAAAACAAAAATATTTGCAAGACAAGATAATTCAAAGAAAAGCAATATCATATCGGAATTGCTGAAGTGAAATCAAAAGGTCATGACCTTCATTACACGTCTCAAGTCTGGCCAATAATAATTGTTTTCAGATCTCCGTGTCGGCAACGAAGTCTCACCAATAATTATTGTTTTCAGATCTTTGTATCGTTAACGAAGACCTACCAAAAATAATTGTTTTTCAGATCTTCGTATCGACAACGAAGTCTCACCAATAATTATTGTTTTTAGATCTCCGTATCGGCAACGAAGTCTCACCAATAATTATTGTTTTCAGATCTTCGTATCGGCAATGAAGTCTCACCAATATATTATTGGTTTCAGATCTTCGTATCGGCAACGAAGTCTCACCAATAATAATTGTTTTTCAGATCTCCATTTTAGCAACGAAGTCTTGCCAATAATAATTGTTTTCAGATCTCCGTATCGGCAACGAAGTCTCACCAATAATAATTGTTTTTCAGATCTCCGTGTCAGCAATGAAGTCTTGCCAATATGTTTTTTTTTCAGATCTCCGTGTCGGCAACGAAGTCTCACCAATAATAATTGTTTTCAGATCTCCGTGTCGGCAACGAAGTCTCACCAATAATTATTGTTTTCAGATCTTTTTATCGTTAACGAAGACCCACCAAAAATAATTGTTTTTCAGATCTTTGTATCGACAACGAAGTCTTGCCAATATGTATTGTTTTCAGATTTCCGTTTCGGTAACGTAGTTTCGCCAATAATTATTGTTTTCAGGTCTTCGTATCAGCAACGAAGTCTTTGCAATATGTATTGTTTTTAGATTTCCTTATCAGCAACGAAGTCTCGCCAATAATTTTTAGATCTCCTTGTCGGCAACGAATTTTCACTAATAACTATTGTTTTCAGATCTCCGTATCGGCAACGAAGTCTCACCAATAATAATTGTTTGCAGATCTCCGTGTCGGCAACGAATTCTCACCAATAACTATTGTTTTTCAGATTTCCGTATTGGCAACAAAGTTTCACCAATAACTTTTGTTTTCAGGTCTCCGTATCGGCAACGAAGTCTCAACAATAACTATTGTTTTTAGGTCTCCGTATCGGCAACGACGTCTCTCCAAAAACTGACATCCAGGGGACAGCTTAAACCTTTCTGAGGCACTCAATTTGGTAAGTTCAGTTTGATATACTTTACCTCCTAAGCCTTTGTCAATAGATCTTAAGAAGAAAAAAAGATCTAGAAGATAACATCAAATAGGTTAAGGCGTTTAAGTAGCATATTTCAAGGGGGCAAGGCACCACTGAAAACAATTCTGACAAAGACCAGAAACTTTTACCTGACTCTACAGTCACGGTTAATTAAGAAAACTATTGATAGATTAAATTAATGTAAAAATATTATAAATCATGGGCAGTTTCTCTTAATTATCTGACAGTTCTAGGTTATGGAGCCAGATGGAATTGGGTTCACGTACATTCAAGTAGCTAAAGCCTAATAAAGAAAACTGTAATTCGAAATATACTTTAAATTCAGTCTATACCCATGTTATCTTGCGAACCATTCTGTCAAAAAATTATGTAGCCAATTCCTTATCTTGCAAAAAATCATATCGAATTCTATCTCAAGAATTTACAAACAATACGAGATGGGAAATAGAAACGTACACTGTTCTATATCCTCTCCTTTTAAAGTTTGTGGTACCTTGAGCGGTTTTTCTTTCTCCATAGTGCATTGAAATGCTTCTTTATAACCCCAAATAGACATATTCTTGGGGGCTACCCCTTCCACACCCTAACTCCCTCATAAAGTGCCCCCAACTTTTGAGAGCCTGTTGGCATCATTGTTATAGACCGGTTTACTAACATATTCAAATGTTATGCATACTTAATAAACAAACGTTGTTTTAGCAACCAGAAAGCTTGCCTGACATAGCAACACATAATGTATGCAGGCTGAATTCCAAGTATTGTAGTTCATTCATTAATAACAGGTTTATGGAATAATTCGTCACTAGGTCCCCAGGAAAGAAACATCCATAAATGAAAATGTGTTAGTATACCGGTTATTAAATTTAACCATTTCATTTTTCGATTAAATATATTAAATGAATTTCATTGGCTTTTATTACATTTTGATTGGCTTTTATTATATTTTCATGCCATGTATACAGGTAGAGGATGAGACCGAACTGATATACAGGAACATCTTCTTCAAGCCAATGGGTCTCGCCACGCACATCGATCGGGAATGCAATGCCCCAACCCGGGACTTCCATCTCGAGTTTAACCTCTTCGACGTTCTTTCTCGATATGAACTTCTTGTTATGAAGAAAAGGATGTCCCTTGGACAGTGCATGGTTATTGACACAAGTGGACTTGCTGCAACGTGGAGACATTAACCTGTACTAATCCAAGGCACTGGGCTTTTATGTGACTGCATTCAACCAACTTCTGAATCTATCATCTATTCGGCACAAATAAATCACGTTTGAACTCTTTTCTGGACATAAAGGACTGAGTGTGATTTAGCCCGTGTCCACTGTATATGTTATCGCTACGATTGGATTTTCGACAACGATGATTGGACTTTTCTGCAACACAATTCTCAGGACTCTTTTCGACATTCGGGACATTCGAGACACATGTTGCATGTTTCAACATACTTTGAAATCCAAACGCCATCTCTTCAGCTGAAATATACAGTTCGAAGGTCCTGTGACTTCATAATATGTTCAATTCAGGAACAGGCCCTCAAACTTGATAAACAGCACCGACGTGAATTGCGTATTTGCTAAATTTTCAATCATCTATCTCCATGTGAACATTTCGACGCGTGCTTCAGAAGCAGACAGATATCGACAGATATGGAAACTGGCAATAAGATGAACCATTCTTTCATATATCACCATTAACTGAGGAAAGCATAACTAAGAAGGGCCTGATATCAAAATCGTCTACAGAATCCGCCAAAGCCAAATATCGTCCTGACTGATTCGAACCTTGCAAAAGGTTTGTTGATTGGTCTGTGACGTGCAGAAAGGCTTCAAGATTAAATGCAAACTTTGACGATTTCTACTACCAAGAACACGATATGGAATAACATTGCTGAACACTTATTTATGAATAATGTATATTGGACCTGAATCGACGATTGCCTGAGGAATTCTATTGGATCCTTTTTATTGTGTGTGCAAGGAAATATTTGTTGGATGGATATTCAATCATTTGGATTATATTCCTGCCAGACTGAACCGGAGAATGCTGAGACTGAACAACTAGATGTCGGGGTAAGTGAAAGTTGTCTGCAGAGAATTCAGCAATATCACTTGTGATCTTAATGGAGCTCTATAATTCACTGAGATGGGTCAGGATGGGTTTGAGCTTGGCCAAATCTAAACGTTAGGACAACATTGATACACATAGGCCCTTAATTAATATTAAAGTAGTGTAAGGGCCAAGTTTTAATCTACCCTTACCCATCTTAGAATATTGTAGATTCCATTATCACGAAGATTGTTGGGTTGGAAATGGACAAACTATAAACTTCCTATTCCTTTGCGAACACGTCACATCGCGGCAACGTTCTTCAAGCGATTGGTATCTGTGTGAGAAGAAACACCCATCAATTTTCAACTAAGATTCAAAATCCAGAATATCTTCTATTGTAAGTATGGTAAGATATTATTATACTTACTTTGGAATTTTAACATGAATTATTTTCGTCTTCATATTTGATTTGATTTTTATTGAATTACTTTTATTGGTATATTTATCGTGATATTACGGTGGATTTGGTGAAATAAATATTTTTAGACCTAATGGATATTATTAGATTATTACTTAATAGAAATACTGTTAAATAGCATCGATTTGCACAGTCAATTTATGAAGATTTTGCGATCCGCTATTTTACTCTGGTCTTTCCTGATCATATGCAAATCATTGCCTACACAATACTGTACTGATATCAATAGATTTGTGTACTATTACACAATAAAGTAAGGCATAAGATATTGTGTTATTGTTTCAGTAAACTATGCTTTTACGTTATATATGTATCGATTTAATTCAAAATATAGAATAAAAGAACTACAATAAATGTAGTAAGGCATAATTTTAAGCAGTAAAAATGAAAAATTCCAGTTATCATGAAGTAGAATAATAGGTCTAAATGACAAAGTAGATATTTTATAGAGAGATTGATAACCTAGCCTTAGGAGCTGATAATTTATGATTGATAATTTGATAAATGATTAGGTAATGGGTGATTAATGATAATACGAAGAAGCATAGATTTAGAATTAGAATTAGAAGATTTTTATAGATAAAAACATAGTTTGCTATCACAGCATTAGACATGGATAATTAAATGATTAATAGGTAATGACTGATTTGATAATAATTGTATCAGAAATTGTATCATTAATGGTAGGATTGATATCGGTACAGTATTGGGTAGATACATTTGTGGTATCAACTGCAGAATACCCTATACCACGCATCATTAGAATATAGTTTTCAGGCTAAGCTTCCCTCCTGGTTAGAGTTAGGGTTAGGATGAGGGTTATGATTAGGACTAGATATAGGATCAGGGTAGGGTTATTTGTGTGGCGGGGTATTCTACAGTTGTTCCAAGCAATATTTGTTTACATGTACTTGCAAAACAAAAATATTTGCAAGACAAGATAATTCAAAGAAAAGCAATATCATATCGGAATTGCTGAAGTGAAATCGAAAGGTCATGACCTTCATTAAACATCTCAAGTCTGGCCAATAATTATTATTTTCAGATCTCCGTGTCGGCAACGAAGTCTCACCAATAATAATTATATTTCAGATCTTCGTATCGGCCACGAAGTCTCACCAATAATTATTGTTTTCAGATCTCCGTGTCGGCAACGAAGTCTCGCCAATAATATTTTGTTCAGGTCACCGTCATTGCAACGCCGTCTCACCAAAAATAATTGTTTTTCAGATCTCCGTATCGGCAACAAAGTTTTGCCAATAATAATCGTTTTCAGATCTTCGTTTCGGCAACGAAGTTTCACCAATAATATTTTTTTATTCAGATCTGCGTTTCGGCAACGAAGTCTCACCAATATTTTTTTTTTCTTCAGATCTCGATTTTAGCAACGAAGTCTTACCAATAATAATTCTTATCAGATCATCGTATCGGCAACGTAGTGCCAACAATTATTGTTTTCAGATCTCCGTATCGGCAACGAAGTCTCACCAATAATAATTGTTTTCACATCTCCGTATCGGCAACGTAGTCTCGCTGTTTTCAGATCTTCGTTTCGGCAACGAAGTCTCACCAATAATAATTGTTTTCATATCTCCGTATTGGCAAAGTAGTCTCGTTGTTTTCAGATCTCCGTATCAGGAACGAAGTCTTACCAATAACTATTATTTTTAGATTTCCGTATCGGCAACGAAGTCTCACCAATAATAATTGTTTTTAGATCTCCGTATCGGCAACAAAGTCTGGCCAATATGTATTGTTTTCAGATTTCCGTATCGGCAACGAAGTCTCACCAATAATAATTGTTTTCAGATCTCCGTATCGGCAACGAAGTCTCACCAATAATTATTGTTTTCAGATGTCCGTGTCGGCAACGAAGTCTCACCAATAAGTATTGTTTTCAGATATCCGTGTCGGCAACGAAGTCTCACCAATAATAATTGTTTTTCAGATCTCCGTGTCGGCAACGAAGTCTCACCAATAATAATTGTTTTTCAGATCTCCGTGTCGGCAACGAAGTCTCACCAATAATAATTGTTTTTCAGATCTCCGTGTCGGCAACAAAGTCTCACCAATAACTATTATTTTTCTCACCAATAATTGTTTTCAGATCATCGTTTTGGCAACGTAGTCTCGCATTTTTCAGATCTCCGTATCGGCAACGAAGTCTCACCAATAATAATTGTTTTTCAGATCTCCGTGTCGGCAACGACGTCTCACCAATAATTATTGTTTTTCAGATCTCCATTTTAGCAACGAAGTCTGGCCAATATGTATTGTTTTCAGATCATCGTTTTCAGTCTCACCAATAATAATCGTTTTCAGATCTCCGTGTCGGCAACGAAGTCTCACCAATAATAATTGTTTTTCAGATCTCCGTGTCGGCAACGAAGTCTCACCAATAATAATTGTTTTTCAGATCTCCGTATCGGCAACAAAGTCTCACCAATAACTATTATTTTTGGATTTCCGTATCGGCAACGAAGTCTCACCAATAATTGTTTTCAGATCATCGTACCGGCAACGTAGTCTCGCTGTTTTCAGATCTCCGTGTCGGCAACGAAGTCTCACCAATAATTATTGTTTTTCAGATCTCCATTTTAGCAACGAAGTCTGGCCAATATGTATTGTTTTCAGATCATCGTTTTCAGTCTCACCAATAATAATCGTTTTCAGATCTCCGTGTCGACAACGAAGTCTCACCAATATTTACTGTTTTTCAGTTCTTCGTGTCGGCAACGAAGTCTCACCAATAATGATTGTTTTTCAGATTTCCGTGTCGGCAACGAAGTCTAACCAATAATTATTGTTTTTAGATCTCCGTGTCGGCAACAAAGTCTCACCAATAATTATTGTTTTTCAGATCTCCGAGGGCAAAATGTAAACGACATTAACGCCTCGACGTGGATTCAAACCCTACATCGACATCTGCATGCTATTAAATATGAAAATGTTTACATGTTCATAAATGGGTAAGTATCAACAGGTAAGTACTGACAAATTAATGATAATTTCATTGTCAAAAAGTAAAGTAAGGAAATTAAGCAAATTTCATATGTCGAAGTTAATACCAAAAGCAGAGGCAATACGGCCACAGAAGCTTTATGGATGTTTGTTGTATATCACGACTTGAATGATTATATAGAGATATAAAGATATATAATGAATTATTTGCATATATTTATAAACACTAGGGGACAGTTTGGTGATCTGCTTAAAACTACTATGAAGAGATAAGTGAAGAGATAAAAGGCTACAAATTAGAAAGAAGTATGAAAAGCATATATTAATTGGAATGAAAAACAGGGCCAAATAATTATAACCAAATGGAAAGAATAATAATGGGGGAGGGGGTGAGGAAAAAATACCACATCTGCTTATATTATGACGTATTCATAAAATTCATAAGTATTGGAATGTTGTTCAATCCTTTAGATTACTGGAAGGGAAAGAGAACGACTGCCAGGGATACAACTTGTATATAGGCTCATACTATGTGACAAACATGGCCACCAGGCGACGAGCTGACGAACCGAGGCGATGGTGAGTAGAGCAGCTACGACCTGTTGGTTTGTATTTTCCGGAAATGATATAGCGCTCGATCTGTATATACATTTTATAATTATGTAATTATGCTTTTAATGATGAACCTTCCGAATAACAAGCAATTAGATTTATTAAAACTTCGGATCAATGAAGCTTTGGAGTAATGAACCTGCAGAAAAAGGACATTAATAATAACTCTTTAAAAGTAAATTGTTACAGAAGAGCAAGATATAGTGGAATATGTTGTAGCCTCTTTTCAACAAAGCCATTCGGAATAGAGGTGCAGCGAGATCGAGATTTCTAATTCTGTTCTAAGAGATCTCATTCTAGCTCTTTCCTAGTATTATTCTTTATAGCCGCAGAATCAACGTAATACAAATGCATTGCATTTTTCAATTTTACCAGGGATACGACAACGATGTAGCGAAGAAGGTGACCTACAGAGCGACCACGACGGCTACCAGGTTACGACTATGGTGATGGTGAGCAAGCGATTACGAGACTGATGGCGACCACGGTAGTAACCAGGTATGTAATAGAGCAGGATTATCGGAAATTAATGGTGTTATCGAAATAAAAGAAACTTGATGGAAATTATCATTGAAGTGGAATACAATTGCGTTTGATATTTTGAAATCCGCATTTTGAGACCTACTTGTTCTGACCTTTTCCAACTACACTGCAATTCTCGAAAATTATTTCCTAATTCCAATATTTTCATTGTTGTATTTCAAAGGCTGTCAAACTTACGGAAGCGTTAAAGTGCCATTCTACTTGACGACATGACGAGATATTCCATCTTGTCAAGTTGACTTAATATTCATATAATGTCGACATGTAAAAATATTTAACTTACCATGTCGACTTATCAACTTTTATTAGTCGACATGGCGAAAGAAATTATGTTGCCAAGTCGACTTCACAAAAAGTTCATGTCGTCATGGCGACATAAGTTATCTTGCCAAGTTGACTTCGCATAAAGTTCATGTCGTCATGGCGACATAAATTATCTTACCAAGTCGACTTCCCAAAAAGTATATGTCGTCATGGCGAAATAAAAATATCTTGCCAAGTCGACTTCGTAAGAAGTACATGTTGTCATGGCGAGATAAAATATGTTACCAAGTCGACTTAATAACAGTAGATGTCGTCTTGGCGACATAAATGATCACGTGGAGTCAGTTTTAAGAATTACAGTTAGGTGCAATCACGTACGCGCGCTGCATGAAATAGTCGTCACACTACATATCTCGCCATGACGACATATACTTTTTGGGAAAACGACTTGGTGAGATAATTTATGTCGCTATTACGAGATGAACTTTTTTGTGAAGTCGACTTGGCAAGATAATACATGTCGCCATGACGACATGAACTTTTTGTGAAGTCGACTTGGCAAGATAATTTATTTCGCCATGTCGACATTACTTTTTGGGTAGTCGACTTGGTAAGATAATATATGTCGCCATGGCGACATGTATTTTTGTAGAAGTCGACTTGGTAAAATAACTTATGTCGCCATGACAACATGAACTTTTTGTGAAGTCGACTTGGCAAGATAATTTATTTCGCCATGTCGACTAATAAAAGTTGATAAGTCGACATGGTAGGTTAAATATCTTTACATGTCGACATGATATGGATATTAAGTCGACTTGACAAGATGAAATATCTCGTCATGTCGTCAAGTAGAATGGCACCTTAACGCTTCCGTACAAACTAGAGCTTAATAAGCTTAACATAATTAATGCAAATCTTTAATCCATGATTGGCGAAAATCGAAGCCGTAGCCGTTAGGTCATCATTCTCCACCAGTAAATCACACATGTTAATTATACAGGATTATAACAGTGCCTATTCGTTTACATTTTCAGCGAGGGAAGAAGGGCGGCGGCCAGGGTGACTACCAGGGTGATGGCAACCAGAGCAACGAACAAGATGACGGCAACGATGATCATCAGGATGGAGCCTACCAGGGCGACGGCATGGACGGCAACCGGATCTTTACCACGGTAAAGACGACCGAGCCGGGGCGACTACCAAGTGATAGCTCCGGAGATATAGTAAGTATAACGATATGAATCTTTTGTTTTTTGTCTCATAATTATAATTTGATATTCTCTTCGTTGTCAACTCTTCTTACATATTTAAGTTTCTAATAATATTTTAACGAATATCTTTATTTAGTTTCATGTCCACGTCTTGTGCAATACACCTAGTGGGTAGATGACCAGTTTATCTGTTCATCCAATGTCTATTCATTTTCGTTGTCTTGTTGTGGGCAATAATTAAACTTATATCGAGAAAACTGAGCTTTGCTAAAGTCATTGAAATATGTCTGTCTTCTGCTGTTTCAAGCATATTGCACGTAAATGGGGATGTATTTAAATCATAGTGGTGTATTTCGCTTTGATTGCATTTTTCTAATACTGGATGATATTCTACATCGCAAGTGACAGTGATTATCATATAATCTGGTATCTCTTTTTATTTTTTCCCATAATTTTATGTACAGCAAGATGATACACCCTTTGTCTCTTCGCTGCTAAGAAGACGACGAGTGAACTGTAATCTTAGATGCTTCCCAGAGATCACAATTTAAGTCTGCAGATGCAAACATGAGCTACAAGCTAGATGACATCCATGTCAATGACAACTGCTCTTCACACAAAAAATATCAGGACTTCGACGCCCACGCACGAACAAGGGAGAAGCCAAAAATGAAATAAATTTGAAAGAAAGCTTTGAATCTTGCACAACCAAAATAATGTCATAAACTGTTGCTTGAAAGAGGATTCTGCATTAGTTATTTTCAATGATGTACATCTACAAACATTCGAGACATTGGAGGCAGTTTTAAGTGAGAGAGAATAACACTGGGCAATTCCACGGTAACGGAAGGACACTCAGACAAGATTTTTGAACTTCAGGTTCATACTATAAGAACTGTTTTATTAGTATAAGATGTGAAACAGTACAGATATAATACCTATATAAGTGCCTTTAATTCTCCCCAAAAAAATTGTCATTATAGTTAAGTAGTTTAAGAATGTGCATATTAATTATCTCGGTAACGGAAGGACATAAAAATGGACATGGTTTTTCCAGTTAATTAGTGTTTATCCAAACTTTGTGAAGTTGATGAAGCTTTCCACTTGACTGAAACACATTTTGTTCCCCATAGTTTAATACATACTAATAAAACATTTCTTTTAGTATGAACCTGAAGTTCAAAAATCTTGTCTGAGTGTCCTTCCGTTACCGTGGAATTGCCCCACTGTATTATGTGCTTTTATATAGCACTCTGCATGGATGCATTATTTGAATATTTTGTTAACATAATCAAATTAATGTACGTCAAGCAAAATGTTAGCATATTTAATATACGAATTATAATTGTAAAATTCCTTTTCAGCGAAGATAATCATATTTCTATTTTTAAATATTTATTTTCATAATTTAAATGTACGTATTTATCCTCGTAATTTTCATATATGTTTAAATCTCACTTGCTATGTAATTCCATTTACTTTCCATATTCTTTAAGGTGTGTCACCAACATGTATTATTTCAACTTAATTGCATTAAAACAATATGATTTCCTAATGACGATATTCTAATAACAATACTGATTTTCTAATACCCATGATACATTTATAACCAACACTAAGCAGCACTACTAACATCACTGTAATGAACCATTATACTGTTAATGTATCATACATTAAATATACCATTTCAACTCATTTTGTATAATTTAGTACTAATACTAATTTGACGTAGTATTATATGAATTGCTTAATATCCGTATGCCATGGTTATGTGATGTATAATCAGTATTGCCTTGCAAGTTGAATTACTAAATAACATGTTTTAATCAACAGCGCTGCTAACTAATATTGCTGCTGCTATTTGTATGTTATTAATACTTGTTTTAAACTATGAATAACTAAAACTCTAATCAAATGCACTAATGGCTAATACATAATAAATGTCTAATAATTTGTTATATACTTGATTTATGTATCTTTGAAATGTAAGCATATATACATACCGTATAATTATCTACCTTTTATCCCTCTTTTATCCCTAACGTACAATGCAACTTCTAATTTAAAACTCTAACTCTAATTATTTAATTGTATGTGTTTATCGTGCCATTCCCTATAAAATGGTCTTTTTAAAAGAAAAATCTTCTTATAAATCGATGTTTGTAAAAGTGAAGCTATGTTTAATATCAGATTTACATTGATATTTTCATGACTGTTTCGTGTTATTGATCCAATACCAGATTAATCAGTGCATATCAAATGTTTATGTGTAAAACAAAATTGATTGTGTTGTCAGGGTTAAAAGAAGAGTATATTGAGGCTACTTTAGGCCAATTGGGCTGAAAGTCGACGAGAGCCCAAAGTTCTTGAATTTTGAAGGGTCACGAGACTACAAAGCTGGTCTCGTAAAGTTATTTACGGTCTCGTGGACTTTCGGTCACGTCTCTATCGATATTAAATTGCATATAATTAATTTGGAATATACTTTTTTCATTATCGTCATTTTGAAGTCTGTGAATTTTCCGTTTTCAAAATTATGTATAAACAGTTGGTATTACAAATAGTATGTGATCCATAACATTTCGTTTAACTCCTCTGTTAAATTGCTTTATATAAAGTCAAGTAACTTATGTTGTAAAGGTATAGATCCGATGAACCCTTGTCATTGGAATACTGTTTTAGGTTTTCGGTCTTCCTTGCATTGTGTAGGTCCTTCGTAGTAATGTGGTATTAAATCATTTTCTTGATATACATGAAATATCTCTTAAATGTGAGTTAAATGTAAAAGAGCACTGGCAGTAACTATGTAAAGGCACAATCATGACACTGCTAAGTGACTATGATTTAACATACACGATGCGTATATTGTGTTTTTCAAATTGACGTATGATTATCGTGCTTAAAGACAAATATACATATATCAAAATAAAGGATTCATGATTTAAACTCACATTTATAGACTCACGAATTGTCTTATGATTCTGTCCTGAATTAAATTTTATGCACAACATGTTGTCAAAATAAAGTTTCACTATGTATTACAAACAACAAAATTGTTACGGTGGTACAATCACTAAACGATTTTCAGTTTTTTTTAGATCTGGGAAAAGGAAATATCAAAGTTCCCCTTACCAAAACGTTCTTGAAGTCTTTCCAGTCTTGATAAATCAAAAGTGCTTTATTTATCTTATTACTCAAATTCGCGTAGTGTAATTATTGAGTGCTGTTTTAAATTTCTCGGTGTCACATGATCATTTCTTTCATACAATGTAACAAAAAGTTTGAACATCTTTACCTATTAAAGAACAAAATAGAGGAGCTTACTTGGTTTCTGACACTCTCTCAATAACCATGGAAACTCTTTGTTAGCTTTTTTAATATATCATAGACTTCTTTCTTCGGACATAGTTGGTCCATGCTAAATCAATGCCAAAAAATATAAACCCAATTTTAGGGGCGTCTGACCGTTAATTGTATACAGTGATAGTGCTTTCTTTTGACAAAGTTTGTTGCATGGGCTAAACTTAGGGTGAAATCCGAATCTGGGTCTGTTCGGGGGGGGGGGGGGGGGCTCTGTGGACCGACAACCATTTTCTCCCACTAACCATATAAGCGGGGGACTTGTCGTCCATGGCCTAAGTAATGGGTCAAAAGGGGTAAGGTAGGCTCTTGACGCGTGTGTGTGTGTGTGTGTGTGTGGGGGGGGGGGAGGATGGAAGAGATTGGAGAAAATTATAGAGAGCTAAAAAGAGAAGAGAGAGAGGAGGAGGAAAAGAGAAAGAACAAGAGAGAGAGAGAGAAAGAGAGAGCGCGCGCGTGTGTGTGTGTTGGAGAGAGAGAGAGAGAGAGAGACAAAGAGACATACAAATACAATGTGTGTGTATGTGTGTGTGAGAGAGAGAGGGTAGGGGTGCGAAAATAGACAATGCAATGTCTCTCTCTCTCTCCCCTCCCCTCTCTCTTCTTTTGTCTCCCCTCCCCCTCTCTATCTCTTTCTCTTTCTCTTTCTCTTTCTCCCCTCTCTTCCTCTTTCTATATATCTATCTCTCCCTCTCATTATAATCCTTTTGGCATTCGCAAACATCAGGAATATTTTTTTATTAAATCCTTTAAAGGTACTATGTCCCATTTGCAGGCCAAAAAAATGAAAAGGTTAAATTCCAACGGCATTTGAAAGATAATACTAATTTAGAACTTCCCTAAAAAAGGTGGGGCTTGAAAATGTCTTCAAGTGGGAAAATAACGACTATTAGTTGTCAAATCGACTTAGGAGCTACAGAGCCAATAAGTAATAGTCTTGATTTTCGGACCATTGTACCGAATGGTCATACGTTTTAAGCTGCGCAAAGATTCAATCAGTTTAATTTTGGCCATCACAAGAAGTGGGTTATTGGTGTAGACAAATGCTCATGTACCCTTTACAGCTCATTTTATTTATGTTATTACCAAAGAAGAAAAAAGCTAGTCAGTCACTCAATAGTGTCTGACAGTGAAGTCTAGCAAGTACACGGGTTTCCTTGCATAATTTGAATATTAGGACACTGCTAACGTTCAAATTTCACAGATAGGACATACCTGACATATTTATAATTCCTGCAAAGTTCTACAGAATTTGAGGTTGGCTGCAAAAGGGACATAGTACCTTTAAAGGTTCTTGATGGGTTGCACTTCGATTAACTTAGAAAAACAAGAAACTAGAAAAACAAGAAATATATGCTTACTAACAATATCATTCGTTTATTATCATCATTTCATAGCTTAATTTTCAATATTTAGAATACATGGTAAAGAAAAGGGGACAGAATGTAGAGCAAAACCTATGCCACTGGAGATAGGACAAAATACATTGTTATCTAACAGTGAACATGATATACATAGTCCTGGGGTGGGGAATATAAAGAGCTTATATTCCCTAAGTGGTATATTTTCGAGACGCGCACAGCACTAAAAGAAAATACGCCAAAGGTCCAAAATCGAATTGCCAGTGAATGTTTATATTGTGGTTGTTACAGATATGGATTACTAAAAACTACATACTCTAATCTAGAAATGAAGATACTTGTAAATGATCCTGTGAATAACAGAATTGCCCAAGCCTCACCGACCCCCCCCCCCCGAATAAAGAAATGGTTATGCTGCAGTAGATTTTTTTTCAAATAAGTATTTGTGATATCATGATAAACTTAATGACATGAGGTGGACATGAGAAGAAAGATTAGGTTAAAACAGTTCTAGCAAGAAACGAAAACTAACCACCAATAATATCGAGAACATCAAACGAAATTTTCATTTAAATAAAAGATAGAAACGTTTGATACCGTCACTTATATTACTTCATCATTTTTTCAATCAGCTATAAATCAATTTAAACTATAGGTTGTCTTCTACCAGGGTTCCAATGACGACGTCACTGACAAAGACGATGATATTGACAATGTCAATCACCATGGTACATTGTCATCACCAACTACACCCACCGGGGGTTTATGCGTAGTAAGTATTGCTGACAACGTTTAGAAGGCGGTTAAAGGAGGGTAAAACCGCGGCGTTGCTAGCTGGAAGACTCGTCAGCTTGTCCTTGGCACTTGTCGCAATAAGGATGTCCAGGACGAGATCGGTCATTGTCTCACTCCCAGTAGGTGTCAAGCTAGTGGTGGACAGAATCATGGCGGCAGCACCTAGGTACACCAACCGTTAAAGATATGATAATAATAGGAGTAATAATAACGATAATAATAATAATAATAATAATAATAATAATAATAATAATAATGATATGAATTATAATACTAGTTTAAATTGGAGGCCTAATAGATATTTTATAGCGCACATGTTAACTACGCATCAACATTAGTTACATTCTGCGACAAAAATCATTTTGTTGCTGTACTAATCCGAGGACATTCCTTTACCTTTACCATACTAACCGAATTCATAACTTCAACCCTGGACCAAACATTTGAAGTTTTTAGTTAGGTTTAATCATACCTCTTACCTAAAACCCGACTGCAACCTTTGCCTCATTATTTTCATTAATTATTATTATTACTTTTAATATGATTATTATGATCATAATTATGATTATAATTATGATTGTCTTAATTATTTATTATTGATTTTCATACCTGCCACCGCAGGGGTTGCAAAGGAGGTGCCGGATGATCTTAGGTAGTTGGAATTACTGCTTCCGGAAGGGGCAGCAAGGTCGATATTTCTTGCTGGGGCGTAGATGTCGACACAAGGACCGTAATTGGAGATTCCGATACGATCATCGCTCGCGCCATTCATACGGTTTCTCGACCCTCCGACCGTGATAACCTAAGAGCAAGAAGCAATGTACAAAAGATAAATAGTGCACAGGGGTGACGAGACGTCTTTCAAAGGGAAGGGGGGGGGGGGTAGTAGAAAGTCTTCAGGGAAGATGGGGTACCTACAAAGTGTAACCGCTATGCGGAAATATAATTGCGTAAACATGTGTATCCCTAAATTTAGTTAATAGTTCTAAGGATCGCCAATATTGTATTGCTTTTCTCCTTTCGCCGTTTTCCTTTTTATTTCCTTTTTAAGTTGCCGTTGTTTGCAATGAACTTAATAATTCTTTTGCGAGCGAGCGAATCAAAACAATGAACTGGAAATTCAAGATTAATAACATAATTGCATGGAATAAATAAATGCGGGCGAGTGTAGCAAAACAGCTTTGAGGTAATTTCACAAAATAGTGCTCTCACTTGGTTAAATTAGGGAGGAAAATTCTTGTCATAGTCCCTGTTGTAATAATGCCTCTTTGCAATATGACTGATTTGTTCTGAATTTTTCTTAACGTTTACCAGATTTGTCAAAAGGATCTTATCACATGTGAAAAGGGACACTAAGCCCAATTCAATTGATTTAAAGGAGAAACACTCATTATAAAGGAAAAGGGGAACTTTACAGTAGTAAAAGAGTGCACTTCTCAGAACCGGAAAGGGGCACTAATTAGAAAGGAAAACTGCAGAGGGACTCATCAGTAGTAAAAGGGGCACTTCTCATTTTTGAATAGATACCTATGAGAGACGAAGTGGGGGCACTTCTCTGCAGGGGAAGGACACTGATTGTTAAAGAAAAATAGCATCCTAAATGTAAAACGAAAAAAAACGAAAAATATCGATAGACTACAAGACTTGTATGGACCGATTCTCTTTCCATGGTTTTGGGGAGCATTGTAGTTCTTTGCCGCCAGAGCTAGATGGGAGCCATCCAAGAGCATAACAACAGATTATTCCTTTAGTCAGGGAACTAAAGCAGGAAAATGTTTTTATCATGATAGGTCAAACTTTTATTGAGCGAACTCGATGCACCCCCCTTTCCGCCCCTTCCCTTCCCACCCCTCCCACCCCTCCCGTCCCCCTCTCCCCCTCCCCCTCTCCCCCTCCCCCTCTCGCCCTCCCCCTCTCCCCTACCCCTCTCCCCCTACCCCGAGAGAGCGACTTGTCAAAACTTGGCCGGCGCCTCGTTTCAGCCGAGATCGAAGGAGAGAAGGTAACTGAACTCGACAGGACTCCTTGTTTAAGTCAAGAAGGCGAGAAGGTGACTTGTTAATACTCGCCAAGAGGTCTTGTTAATAAAGAGAAGGTGAGAAGATGACATATTCAACCACTTTATCGTCTTCTCGACTTAAATAAGGCGCATTTTTTTCTTCAATTCAAGCAAGTCGCCTTCTCGCTGCACGATTAACCGCTCGTGCGCCCTTCCATGTTGAGCTCTCGGATTCGGTGAATTGGGACTTTGCACGTCGACATAGTAGACTGCTACATGTGACGTCCTTTTCAGGCACTGGGACGTCCTTTTAAAGCACTGCCACCGCCTTAAAAGGACGTCACACGTAGCAGCCCACTATTTCAACGTGCAAAACTAAAAGTCCCTAATATTTACATCAGGTGATCCAGACGGAGAGTAGTTACAGGCATTAGCCATGCTGATGTCCGAACCTTGGTTTCCAGCTGCCACGACGACCACGCAATCGGTGTTCGCGCTGAGGTTCCCGAAAGCATAGTTGAGTGTCGTACTAAAGGACGTGGAAATCAGTGAGTAGGAGACGACACACTTAGAACCCGGGTTGTTGTTCCACCACCGTTGAACGTCGTCAAGCCCTGTATTAATGGGACGTAAGAAACAAAAATGTAGGTTACATTACAAGTGGTCCTGCCATATTATTGCTGCTTGATTTATTTCGTGATTGGTAATAGAGTAGTGGAAAGGTTGCGTTCAGTGGATTGTAGGCTAGGTTTGGGTGTTATGGCTAGGGATAGGTGTTAGGGTAAGGTAGGCCTATAATAATTCAAATATTATTGTTATTTAAAAAGAAAATCGATTTTTGTTTTTGTCCAAAGTGCTGAAAACACTTTGGACCGTGCTTGTGGCATGATAATGTGGTCCAAATAACATTCAGCGAGTATTTGTCATATTATGAATATGAGGGCATCTGAAGAACCATCCTTCTACACTAACATAAACAGAATGAAAAAGCTCACAATTTCAAAATTACAAAGTACATACCTGCGAGGACGTCATCAGCGGCGGCTAAGCCATCGGATCCAGCTACCCGAATGCTCTCTACGGTCGCGCCCTGAGCGACTCCTATGTTGGCTCCGGCGGCTACGCTCGCACAGCGGGTCCCATGTCCATTGACGTCCACCATAATGGGCGACTACAAAACAAGAATCAGGATTTATGAGAGAAATGAAAACTTAATAATGTAATGCCTCGTTCAGATATCTAGCGGTAAACAGCGGCTGTTTTTATTTGATTTATTACAAATATATTCGGGGGGGGGGGGTGATTCACCGCGTCACATCTGGACCAGCCTTTAGGCATCCGCAATGGACTGTCTATTCTATCCCCCCCCTCCCATACGCCATATTTTCCAGGTTTTTGACAAACACGACTTTTTGCATGGTTAGTAATTAGATTTTGTTTTAAGGGAGGGGGCATAAATTTGTTAGGTCTATATTCCAAGGATAACATTCCTTAACCCCCTTGTTTTAACGTTAGGCCTAGAGTACTAATATTTCCTTCGCAATACGCATGATATGCATAGCTAGAGGGCGGCTTAATTTGATTCACGTAAAATGCTAAAGAGTCGTGAAGTAAGAATGATACTCACGTTTGGTGTAACGGTATCGTTATAAAAGCTGACGCGGCCGTTGGTAAACTCATCGTGAGTAAACAGGACTCCAGTATCAAGAATGAAGATAGTCACGTCTGTCGCATCATCTGAGAAAGAAAATAAAAACATGGACGTTACAAAGCTTGAAGTCGGGTAAAGCCGAACCCTATATTTAAAGGGCTACGTAAGCCCAGTGAAACAATACTTCGTCGGCGGTTTTATGAACCGACGAAACCGTCATAGATAATGTTTCACTAGCCTCCTGAAATAATATATGGCGCCATAAAGACCTACCTGTAGTAGAGTGAAATAATAAATACAAATGTGGTCTTTTATCAGTGTTAGTACGACTCTTCCTGCGGGCCTTGCAGCCTTTCGAAAAATAGGAAGGAGGAGGCCCCCCCTTTTTTTTTCTTTCAAAACGGCCGCTCAAAATGGCCGCTCGGTACATTTTCCCTGACAGTCGGGATATTTTTCAAAATGGCCGCCGACATTTATTTAAAAAAAAAAAATTTAATCAGAAATAGATTCATTTTAGCTATGTTTTTCATGTTTTTTTCTTTAAAAAAATAAAAAAATAAAACAATTTCAACCAAAAAAACTAAAAAAAATAGGAGGCGGCTCCCAAAAAGGAAGCGAGCGGCGACGCTAACATGTATATTTTTTTTAATGGCCTTATAACCCCAACAGTTTCTAGGGAAATTGTGATTGAATTAGCAAACAATAAATCGTTTTCTTACATGTTGATATGTTCTATCTTTCTGTTGTCCATTGTGTACAATGCAAGCACTTTCATGGGATTTTATCACATGCACCTATGCGCTTTGAGAGTTTGATTCGATGTGATTAGGATTCGGTGTCTTAAAAGTCTCTCATAATATTTTTGCAATGACGAACCTTCGTCATTGCCTTGTTTTCGTTCACGTTATTGCAATGACGACCTTCGTCATTGCCTTGTTTTCGTTCACATTCTGCCCCATAAATTGCAATGACGACCTTCGTCATTGCCTTGTTTTCGTTCACATTCTGCCCCATTAATATTCTCCTTTTCCTTTTCCTTTTCCTTATCCTTATCCTTATCGTCAGGAAATCGCATTCGTTTTGCACGTAGTGTTTGTGATTCCTAGTTAGGTGCTTTTCTCATGTCCTTTTCCTTTCAAATTTCATAGGCATAGTCTCTAACATCTCATCAAGGTCACTACATTCTTCGATTTTGGAAATCACTCATGCATGACCGTCCAGGCGCCATTTTGTCCGTTTCTGGTCCATTTTAAGGCCTTTATATCTTCCTTCCTATCTCCACTATCCTAGATTCTACAAACTTCTAACAAATTCCTCTAGATAGTCTGAGAGATGTTCTTTCATCTGCGACATATAACCTGACCTTCAAAATGCCATCTTCGTACTCGAAATTCAAATCTAAAACCGACTCCGTCAAAAATCTCTCAAGTTCTTGAAAAATGGACCCCTAAATAATCTAAAACTGCCATAACTTTCTCATATAAATTCCGTTTTGTATTTAAATCTCACAGTATCTTTATCTCATAATTGCACATAGCCATGCCAAATTTCACGCTCCAATGGCTTTGCACAACATAAATAGCGCCCTCTAAAGTTCTGGGAATTGGCTTTCTCTCTGTGGCCGTATCTCCATAATGGCTTGGCAAACCCGTACCCTTTTTTGGATTTAGATACTTGAAGATATGCCCTTTCCAGCCATATACAAAATTATATACCCTATCACTGACCAAATTTGAGAAAATTGCCCTCCAAATTCGCCATTTTCAAGAAAATTCCGAAATAACTTCAACTTGCTCTAAAATGGCGATCTTTATACCTACATCCATGAAACTTGGCAGACATATGTATCCATATACGTGACAACTGTTTACTAAGTTTGGTAAAATTCGAATATGTCAGCGCAAAGTAATCGCCAAAAATGATGAATTTACTATGCATTACGTAATAGCGCGTTTAATGCGTGCAATACATTGCGCGCAGATAACAATGGTGTCAAACTGACCGCAATGAAGTGCCCTTTCGAATGATACCAAGTATGATATATGTTCATACAGAAAATTGTGAGTAAATCGCATTTTAACAAAGGTCACTACACGAATTCCGCCGAGTTTCCGCCCGAATCTAACACGTATCGGCTATGACGTAATTTTTCAGACTGCTTTTCGCCCCTTAAACGTCCTTTTTTTTCCTTGAAAATTTGCAGTGACATGCCGAGTTCCAATACGCAGGGCACCTCTTGGCCGGATTTTTAAAATTGGTCAAGGGGGCCATTTAAGACGCCATTTTGTCCTATAAATCTATTTTACATCACGTGTTTCGATAGGATTATCATAGAAAAAAAAAGAGTGGTTTACGATAACAACCATGAAATTCTCTTTCTAATGATACCAAATACGGCCCATAAAAAGACATAAAGAGAGAGAAAAAAAAACAATTTAACTCCGGTCGTATTACAGATCCTGTACGTTTTTCGCCCATGCATTACACGCATTGTCTATGGGGCATATCGGGTTCACGCTTTTGGCCCCCAGAACGATCTTGATTGCAATGACGAACATGCACCAAATCCCATTGGTTTTTGCACGCAGTGCTCGCGAGCCCTTTCTAGGTTCTTTCCCCTATCCCAATTTCTTTCAAACTTCGTAGGCATAGTCACTACCATCCCATCAAGGTCACTGTTGAGGCCTTTCTTTCGCACTATCTATCTCCAATATCACAGAAGCTACAGACTTCGTACAAATTGCTCTGGATAGTCCGAGAGAAGCTCTTTCGTTTGACTTATCGAAACATGGCGTCATTGCACGCACATCGTTGGGACACGATTGCATTTCTAGTTGCAATGACGACCTTCGTCATTGCCTTGTTTTCGTTCACATTCTGCCCCATTAATATTTTCCTTTTTGCAATGACGACCTTCGTCATTGCCTTGTTTTCGTTCACATTCTGCCCCATTAATATTCTCCTTTTCCTCCTTTTCCTTTTCCTTATCGTCAGGAAATCGCATTCGTTTTGCACGTAATGTTTGTTATTCCTAGTTAGGTGCTTTTCTCATGTCCTTTTCCTTTCACATTTCATAGGCATAGTCTCTAACATCCCTTCAAGGTCACTACATTCTTCGATTTTCGAAATCACTCATGCATAACCGTCCAGGCGCCATTTTGTCCGTTTCTGGTCCATTTTAAGGCCTTTCTTTCTTCCTTCCTATCTCCACTATCCTAGATCCTACACATTTCTAACAAATTCCTCTAGATAGTCTAAGAGATGTTCTTTTATCTGCGACGTATAACCTGCCCTTCAAAATGCCATCTTCATACTCAAAATTCAAATCTGAAACCGACTCCGTCAACTATCTCTCAAATTCTTGAAAAATTGACACCTAAATAATCTAAAACTGCCATAACTTTCTCATATAAATTCCGTTTTGTATTTAAATCTCACAGTATCCTTATCTCATAATTGCACATAGCCATGCCAAATTTCACGCTCCAATGACTTTGCACAACATAAATAGCGCCCTCTAAAGTTCTGGGAATTGGCTTTCTCTCTGTGGCCGTATCTCCATAATGGCTTGGCAAACCCGTACCCTTTTTTGGATTTAGATACTTGAAGATATGCCCTTTCCAGCCATATACAAAATTATATACCCTATCACTGACCAAATTTGAGAAAATTGCCCTCCAAATTCGCCATTTTCAAGAAAATTCCAAAATAACTTCAACTTGCTCTAAAATTACGATCCTTTGACCTACGTCAATGAAACTTGGCACACACATGTATTTATATACGTGACAACTGTCCGCAAAGTTTGGTAAAATTTGATTATGTCAGCGCAAAGTTATCTCAAAAAATGATGTATTTACTATGCATTGCGTGATAGCGCGTTAAATGCGTGCAATACATTGCGCGAAGATAACAATGGTGTCAAACTGACAGCAATGAAGTGCCCTTTCGAATGATACCAAGTATAGTATATGTTCACACAGAAAATTGTGAATAAATCGCATTTGAACAAAGATCACTACACGAATTCCGCCGAGTTTCCGCCCGAATCTAACACGTATCGGCTATGACGTCATTTTTTCAGACTGCTTTTCGCCCCTTAAACGTCCTTTTTTTTCCTTGAAAATTTGCAGTGACATGCCGAGTTCCAATACGCAGGGCACCTCTTGGCCGGATTTTTGAAATTGGTCAAGGGGGCCATTTAAGACGCCATTTTGTCCTATACATCTATTTTACATCACGTGTTTCGATAGGATTATCATAGAAAAAAAGAGAGTGGTTTACAATAACAACCATGAAATTCTCTTTCTAATGATACCAAATACGGCCCATAAAGAGACGTAAAGAGAGAGAGAAAAAACAATTTAACTCCGGCCATAATACAGATCCTGCACGTTTTCCGCCCATTCATTACACGCATTGTCTAAGGGGCATATCGGGTTCACGCTTTTGGCCCCCAGAACGAACTTGATTGCAATGTCAAACATGCACCAAATCCCTTTGGTTTGTGCACGCAGTGCTTGCGAGCCCTTTCTAGGTTCTTTCCCCTATCCCAATTTCTTTCAAACTTCGTAGGCATAGTACCATCCCATCAAGGTCACTGTTGATGCCTTTCTTTCGCCCTACCTATCTCCAATATCACAGAAGCTACAGACTTCGTGCAAATTGCTCTGGATAGTCCGAGAGAAGCTCTTTCGTTTGACACGTAGAAACACGGCGTCATTGCACGCACATCGTTCTGACACGATTGCATTTCTAGTCCTTGTTTTCCTTATCGTCCAGAAATCCCATTCGTTTTGCACGTAGTGTTTGTTATTCCTAGTTAGGTGCTTTCCTCATGTTCTTTTCCTTTCAAATTTCATAGGCATAGTCTCTAACATCTCATCAAGGTCACTACATTCTTCGATTTTCGAAATCACTCATGCATAACCGTCCAGGCGCCATTATGTCCGTTTCTGGTCCATTTTAAGGCCTTATTTTATTCCTTTCTATCTCCACTATCCTAGATCATACAAACTTCTAACAAATTCCTCTAGATAGTCTAAGAGATATTCTTTCATCTGCGACGTATAACCTGACCTTCAAA